ATAAATTTAAATGTTAGCTCAAAATAAAAGTAAAGTTAGGCTGCTTAGTTGGTTTGAGGAGGATATGATAATGTTTTGCTGGCATAAGATCAAGGGATCAATCCTTCATCAATAGTTTTTTTTTTTTTTTTTTTTTTTTTTTTACTATTTTAAATGTATATATTTTGATTTTAAGGTTTTTTTTTTACAAAAAATATATACATATGAAAATAATGTGATCTCTTCTACTTCTTCTCAAACCCATTTCTTTCCTATTTTTCCAACTAACTTTTTATTATAATATCATTTTTTTATTTGTATTTTTTTTCCTAAAAAACCTATATACATATAAGATGATCAAGTTTTGACATTCGTATTTAAAATTTCTAATAATTGCATTTTTTTTCCTAATAGCTCTTAATAGTTTTTTTTTATTCTTAAAAAAAATGTATATAAGAATAGAATCGGCCCCTCGGTTCCTAAATTCCTGGCGTCGTCCCTAGATACCTACGTAACGACTTATACTTCGTATTATATAAAGGATTCATTTGTATTATCAAAGAAATTCCAAATATATATATATATATATACCAAATAGGTGTGTGTTGGTATACCAACCTTTAGTGTTTAGGGTAAGCAAAATCCTCTATTTTTCTTGCATTCTTTGTTGGTAGAATTGCAAGAAGAGAACCTGCATTTGAATGCACTGTTTCTTATTACAGAGTCGTTAAAGCATTTTTTTTTGTTCCATCCGGTTCACCCTTTGGGCTAATCCGGATTCGGGGATCAGTTCTAGGTGGTTAGGTTCCAGTCCCCTCCCGATTGTTGTTGTGGGAGATCGAACACGGGTCCTCCCTACCAAGTCGTTAAAGCATATGACTCTATTGGTTGGGTTCCCAAACTTCTAGGATGCAGCTATACTTGTTAACCCCTAGGAGTGGAACGATGTCCAAGGTTCGTTTTTCAGCAATATGGTGCATTCAATTTATGATTTTTCTGTCTATCTTCCAACAACTTCCATCATGAGTTTCCTTCAGTGTCAGAGCCATTTTCGGGTTTCTTCAATGATTATGTCCTGCGCTCTTGGTCCATCTCGACTATTTTGGTTCATTTGGCTTCTCTTGGTCTACAATGTGGATGTGGTACGATACTCGTGGTTTTCTAAGCTCCACAGCTATGCTAATCCTATGATGCTCAACTTTTAAAGTATTTTGTTCTTTTTAGTAAGCCCTATTTGAGGATTTGTTTATTAGGTGTATTGATTAGTTCTTTTAGGTTGTAATTCTGCTTTTATTTATATAGTTCTCTTTGTCAAAAAAAGGAAAAAAAAACATGACATTAAAAACAATATTAACCTAAATTTGTTAGAAGTGTCAATTTACAGAGTCCGCGTTAGGCCCTGTTTGGTGGTAGCGTTTGAGGTAGCAGGTAGCTTTTTGACCAGTCAAATCACTAGTAGAAAAAATTTAAGAGTGTTTGGCAAAGTAGCGATTCCAGTAGCGCTTAGCAATATATGTAGCGTTTAGGTAGCGTTTTTCAAATGTTAAAAATAGTAGCAGATAACGTTTGTCAAATTTTTATTACTTTTAAAATAATATTTATATGAATTTTGATATATTTTAGTATTGCAACCGCTACTTTTGCCAAATACTCATACTATCAACTGTTACTTTGACAGCTAACCTCTATCCACCGCAATTTCTATGTTACTCCTGGAGTACCATGCACATAGTGCTCCAAGTTTATAAAACTTATGTTATTTCAATGCTAACTTTTTATTATTTTAGTTTATAATATCTATGTTATTTTAAAATAAGTATATGTTATTTTATACTTGCATATTTTTTATTATTATTATATTCAACATCGATTATTTCATTGTACACCAATTCTATAAAATTCATGTTATTTTGATATAAACTTCTTATTATTTTAATTTATATACATGTTATTTTTGGATAAGTACATGTTTTTTTTTTGAAGGAAAGGAAGGAAACATGTTATACATGCTATTGAAGTATATAAGTAAATAACATACTATTTTAGCAAAATAACACAACATTTAAAGAAAATAACATGAGGTTTAAGCAAAATAACTCTAACATAATTGGCATGGAGTACATGATCCACGAGTATGTAATTGTAATACCCCGTATTTTTATGTATTTTTATAAAATATTTAAGTGTTAATAAAATGTATTGTCAAGGGCTTAAGTATTTTAATTAAATATTTTAAAGGGTTAAAGTATTTTAAATATAAAGTTTTATAAAAGTAAAATATGTTTTGGGCCAAATATTTATTAATTATCAGACAATATAAATTATTCCTACATACTCTTATTGGAATAACCCATTCCAAAACCCATAATTTAAGCCATATCCCATAACTCAAGCCCACATTTTTATAAGCCCAAATTTAACCCTACACTCTCTACTCTATAAATACCCCATGAATCCCCAAAAATTTCCCACACAAAAAGGTTAGTCTTATTTTCTCTCTCCTTTGTTTTATTAATTTGTGTAATTATAATTATTGATTTATGGGTTTTGATTTTATTGTTTGAAATTAATTTAATTAGTATCAAATTGTATTTTGATGATTAAACTTTATAATTTTCAGATTTTGTAAATTTTATAACCTAGGGTTTTTAATTATTGAAAATCATGATTTCAGGGTTTTTATGAATAATTGATTTAGGGCTTTTATAGTAATGATGTTTTGAAATTTGATGATTATAACTACTTATTAGTTTAACTTAATTCCAGATTATTTTGAACACGTAAATTCATGTTTTAATTGTTAGATTTTCGTTCATTAATATTAATCCAGTTTTATTCCCGATCAGGTTCTAAAATCCTCCGATTTTGATAAAAAAAATTAAGGTTTTTCGTGTGGAAACAACGTTTTAAGAAAAACTCACTACCTTTGGTAGTGAGTTCCACCCTCCCGTGGCCAAATTCAGCCTCTAAATATGATTTTCGGGTAGCTTTTGATTTTTAACGAATTTTTTTTATGCTTTAAATTTTATCCTTGAGTTTAAAAGGGGTAAGAGATAATTTAATGTTTCTATGGATAATTTAAGTATAAAAAAGTATTTTGATGAAGTTTTAAAGGGTTTTTGATTAGTTTAAAATGTTGGAATTTTATTTAAAGTAGTATAATTGTGATTTTTAATAAAAGGGTGTAATTATCCATTAAAAAGGAGTTTAATTAAGGGTTTTAAAATAATTTTTAGATTATTTTAAGTAGTCTAAAGTAAATTTAAGTTGCTGGAAATTGTGTATACAAGGAGAATTAATATAGTATTATTGTCCCTTTATGTAGGAGACTTGGTTCAAGAATTGTTGTAGAGTACTCGGTTATTTTAAGAGCTTATTTGAGGTACGTACATAGCATATTTTGATGATGTAGAATCATGCTAGGCTTGATTTCAGTCAATTACAAGTAGTATCATGCTAAGGTTTATGTATGGAATTGTGAATTAATGGTGTTGGTGATTGAATTGTGAAGCATGAATTATTTGTGATGGTTTATGGATTGGAAAATTATATTTTGGGCATGTTGTGTTTGAACCACACTTTTATTTATGGCATGTTAGAATGCATGATTAATTAAACTACATGTTTAATTATGTTAGAAATATTGAAAAGGAATTTTATTATGGTTCAAATAATTTTTATTGATGCTTTAAGCATGAGGAAGGAGCTATATAAGTGTCTATGTACACGAGGAATAAATTGTATGTTGGTGTCTTTGTGCACTTAAGGTGTTTTTAACACCGAGGGATAGGATTTTTGGCGCTTTATGCGTTTAAGGTGTCTTTGACACTGAGGTAGAATTAAAAGGGGTTCAACATTAAATAATATGTGGTCACTAATTATTCAAAAATTAAATTGGTATGTTTGGTTGATTGAATAATTATTGTTGATTGATTTATTATGCTTTGAGAGTCATCACCAAGTCCAATAACATGTAAATAACGTAAAGTGAAAGAGATTACGCACCAAAACTCTTGGAACGTATATACCTTGAGTATGAACAATGAGGGGAGTTATGGGGTTTTATATTTAACCATAACTTCTAATGGAGTACTGGACGTTGTGCATTCCTTTTTATTTATTATTATGCGCAGGAATTCCGCCACCTTTGAGTGGTTTTGTCGCTGGCACGGTTAGCTCCCGTGTCAGTTAACCTCAATTTATTTAGGGGAGGTATAGTTGGAAACTCGTTTGATGCGTAATTAACGCTAAATGAATTATTTAGTGTCTAGTTAATGTGTCATGTTGATTGTTGTGTGTGCTTGTAAACAGGTGCAATGAGGTAAGTGTGTGTTGATAGGTGAAAGCATGTTAGTGTGTTTAATTACGCTTATGTACTTAGCTTTGTTGATTGTGTGTGTTTGTGTGTTTGGTCATGTCTTTACTTTGGCCCTACGACGACCCATTTTCTAATGGCGAGTAGTGGGGACAAGTAGAGAGGAGGTTTTCAGGCGATGAAGCATATTCATGGATGGGCATGAGTGAAGAGCGAATCATTCTAGTTTCTATAAGTATATGATGTGTTTAATGCTTTAATTATTTATGATATTATTATCATGCATGACTAACGCAAAAGTTTTAAAGTTGGTTTGGTTTTAATAAGGCCCTACAATGGTTCCAAGTTGTAGGATGGTTTTATTTTACTTCGTTTGATTTTGGTTTTGACTTTACTTTTGTTGGTTGACTTTTCAAGTTGACTTGTTTTGAATGGTTTTGAAATTAGTTTTCCGCTGTGTGTCTTTGATGGTTGCCTTAGCCGTTTTCACGGTGGCGGTAATATCTTAGATATTCCTATTTAAATTTTTATACAGGGCAAAACAGGTATTTTAAAAGAAAGGAATTTCTAGGGTGTTACAGTAATACTAATTGCTACCCACTACTACTTGACCTCTAAAAGTTACTCGCTACCGCTACTTTTGCTAAACATGACCTTAAGTAGAGGTTTGAGAAATCCTCCCTCTTGTTATGAAGTAGGCAAAACACCCGTGACATAGTTTAACCCGCCCTTAACAAGTAGTAGGCAAAACCCTTGGTGGGAAAGGGAAGAGGGATTTTCTCACCGCCTGTTTTTGAAATTTTAGGAAACAGGCGATTGTTCTTTCTACTTTTTCAAGAATAGAACATACCCAATCTCATCCTCTCTACACTGTCACTACCATCTTCAGGTTTTCTTCCAAGGTTACTCAAATTTCCATATACTTAGCTCTAAACTCACAGATTTTACAAAAACATTCGCGTAATCATTTTATCCTTATAATTTTCTTTTTGATTTACTGATTTGTTTGGTTAATTTTGTGGATTAATGTATTAATTTCTCAGAAATTGTGTAATTTTTCACCAAAATTGTGCATTGTATGATTTTGGTTTTGTTTGACTGCTTGCTACTGATTTGAATATGTCGAAATTATTCTCGTTATTTTTTTCCCCCTTTTTAATTGTTTTCACCCATGTTAGTATTATTTTATATACGAATTTCAATTATTTTTCGCTTGATAAACTTTTGGATGATTTCAATTTTGTAGGGTTTTGGGAACCTGTTTGATTCGGTGGTTGATTATTCATTGATATTGTTTAACAAACATGGTGAGTTTTCATTTTGCTGTACTTACAAATAGCTTGTACTCGTGATAATACACTGGATATGTACTTCGATAGGATCGGATTAGATATAGGTTGAATGTGGGGAATTATGAAAATTGGGAAACGAGATGCTTGTCAAGTTGCCAATACACTGCCCCATCTCCTTGTCATTATACTTTAATAATTAATATGGAGTAAGCAGCATCACGAATTCTTATTATTGTCATTGATTGTATCCTACACTCTTGCTGCAAATTATGGCAATGCCCCGAGCTTGAGCTATATCAATTTGTAGATGAAATGGATGCCTGTGCTGTGACCTACATCGCTACACGCTTTAAATTTTTGATAATTTTGGTACTAAAAGGTGCAAGAAACTTTTAACAAACTGGACTTGACTTCGGATTTTCCATGTCAAGATGTATTAATAGAAAGAAAGAAAGGAAAATTGAGGTTTGCAGAGCCTATCTATGCACTCATATTATCTGATCAGGGGAGTGAGGTAATTTTTCATAGATAATAAGAAAGAATGAAAAGTTAGAGATGGATCATGGGATGAGGGATAAGAATGTTCATATTGAGTTGAATCACTATTGATAATCCCTTAAAGCCTTACCCATTTTGCATTATAGATTTATAGTCTAGAAGTGTGAATTGTGTATTTAATCAGAACTGGGTTTTGCAATATTGCAATCATTATTTATTGTGCCTTGTTTTGTATTCTTTTCTTTACATTAGAGCTTGTTTCAATTTGTTTTGTTGATTAATTTTTTGTTTCAAGTTATAGAATCTGCCTACTTCTATAGAACTCTTATCGTTTATTTTCAAAATGATGGTGGTAGTCCAAGAAGAGAGGTCTTTCACTCGAAGAGAAGCGTGAGAAAATGCTTCAGATATTTTATGACTCGCAAGATTTCTTCCTTGTAAGTGCAAAGCCTCTTTTTGTATTATCTCTTACATCCTCTTTTATGATATTTGGATTCAAAACAATGCAAAAGTGTGGACTATTGTTATGCATATAACTAGGGTTATGTTAGCAGCCATAAAGAAGCAACTTAAGCATCTTACAATCCTCGCTCTTTAAGCTAGGCTCTATATTGTTGAGCTACTATTGTCTTCCTCAAGCTTAGTTATCTGTATGCTTTTCAGGATATTCTTCCATTATATTAACCTGCACTTTGAATGATTTTGCTGTTAATTCCAGCTTAAGGAACTTGAAAAGATGGGGCCAAAGAAAGGTGTCATTAGTCAATCAGTGAAGGATGTTATCCAAAGTCTTGTGGATGATGACCTTGTCTTGAAGGACAAGATTGGAAGTTCTGTAAGAATGTCTTAACTTGAAAGTAATTTACTTAAGGACTCAGAATAATAACAGGACTTGCCATGCTTTGACACCGAATAGCAATATCATGCTTGACTTAGTTTTATTTTATTATTTTTTTTTCCTGGCTACATTAAACCATGATTGGCTGACCATCTTTCTTTTGCTAGATTTACTTTTGGAGTCTTCCTAGCACTGCTGGGAATCAGGTAATCTTTAGTAGTGCATTTTACAATGGATCTTAAGTTGAACTTTTAGAAATTTAGGGAACATGTAACTTGGTTCAACAATTTAATCTGAATTTATGGTTTGACAGCTTAGGAATGTGTCTCGTAAACTAGAATCTGATCTTCATGCCAGCAAGAAACGCTATGGTGAATTGATGGAACAATGCGCTTCCCTGAAGAAAGGACGTGAAGAATCTGTCAGTCATTAGCTTTATCATTGAGCTGTAATAATGTTTTGGCTGTATTAATGACATTAATGCCTTATTATGTGATTTGAATTTTCAAGGATGAGAGAGAGGAGGCTTTAAGCGAGTTAAAATCTGTTCAGCTGAAGCACAATGAACTGAAGGTTGGTTTTTCCTAATTTGTCACAGTGCATTGGTAAAATGAAGTATCTTTTTTTGAGAGTTTGATAACACTACTTGATTATTATTTTCAATAGGAGGAACTGGCTCAGTATGCAGATAATGATCCTGCTGCTTTTGAGACAATGAGTAAAAAATATTTATTCTTCTCTATGTTCAATTGTGTAGTTCTGAAGAGAATACTCTTGCTCTATATATTTTGTCTTCTGATCCTTCTGGTGAATCAGTTTTCTGAGGTCCATTTAGAAATGACTAATGTCTGAATTGTCAATATGACCTGTGGCAGAAAAAGCTATAGAAGTTTCATATTCAGCTGCCAACAGATGGACAGGTTAGAACCCATTATTTTCCTTTATAATGCTATTGATAGATTGTACTAGTTGCTGCCTCCTGTGCTTAAAACCCCTCTCATAAACAATGCACAGATAATATATTCACGTTGCGGCAATGGTGTGCAAACAATTTTCCACAGGCTAAAGAACAACTTGAACACATGTACCAGGAGGTATATCTTTTTAATATACTCAGTTTTTGACTACCTGCATTTAATAGTATTACATTGATTGCCTGTGACATTTCATCTTAGCTACTTTGTACTTGCATCTTCTAAAGTAGTTTTTACTATTACGGAAATACTCTTGTCTCTAGTTCTTTCAATAATTTTAAAGAATATTTAGACTGATAATCTGAACTTGCTGCAGATTTTCTTTTTTCTTGGTTGTGTCATCCAGAATCCTATATTTGACCTCAATGTGGCTATATTTTTCAATTGCTTATTTGCTTTCATGAACATTATACCGCTTAAAATGCATTGGCACGGTGTGCCTAAAATGTCAGTCCTTATGTAGCCAATCTGAGGCTATAAAAGTATAAATTATAGGATTTTTGCCTGTCGTTTTTACGGCCTTGTTCTACATATAATATTCTATGATGCTTTTCATTGTGCTGCAGGCTGGAATAACAGATGATTTTGACTATATAGAGTTACCAAATCTTTCTTCACTAGGAGCTCCAGATAACTAGTTAGAAGGTGAATTTATCTTGATGTTGCCTGATATAGAATCCTATAGATGCATTTTTTTTTTGTAACAAGGGCATAAACCGCTTAATTAAGCATTTTGGTCAGTATGTATACTTTTTACTATTTGTTTCAGTGATTTGATTTTTTGGCACTCATGCTCATATATTAATGCGCTCTTCTTTCAATTTTAATACTCCGTATTATAGGTATTTGTTTGCTTCTCCTTTGTTTGCTAGTGGGTTGGGATTATGGGTGAAGGGGAACAGAGAAAAAGAGAGAAAGGGGGGGGGGGGAGCGGAAGGTGTCTATAGTCTGGGCAGACTCATAGTTATGTAAAAGGGGAAGCAAATTTTGAGATTAAATCTTTCTGGTAAATGATCTCATTTGGAAAAAAAAAGTGAAGGTACTCAAATCCAAACGATATTATTGTTGCATTTGCCTTTCTGGTTGCGCATTGCTTTGTTGTACTGTATTTAATTACCAGATGCATCTACAAATGTCAATGCTCATCACAATATTTCTTCTATTTGACTACAGTAATTTCTATTTTTTTTGTCATCAAACATGCCATATCAAACTTTTGGTGCAGATCGTGCAGCTTCTTTGCCATCTTTTTTATTTTCTTGTGGCTTGGGCTTATGGAGTTATGGTAGCTGATGCAAGATTGCTTATGTAGCTATATTAATTGATGTCATCAATGTCTCCTCATCTGTTTGTCTGTTTCAAAGCTTGTCTTCCTCAGTTTTCCTGAAATTTTATGATCGTCAATGTCTGGTGTTAACCGAAATTCTGTGTTTCATTGCTGACAATGAGTTTACTTTTTTGCATGCAGACTGGAAAGCATAATTTTTGCTGGTGGCTAGTTGAGCAATTTCCTTTGAATAACCAGACTTGAATGTAATGTGTATCTCAGTATCTGCTTGTGTTTGCGGTTGAACAATTTGCTGTGAAAACTGCTTAGCTCTATCCATTTCCCTAGAACTAGCAAACATTGTTTAGCTTATAGTCTTTGTCAATATCATTTGACATACATATTGACAAATGTACATATTTCGCTTGTAATGGGTCGTAGCATACTAGCATGTACTTCCTACTTGCCCTTTTCTATCCTTCCCGTTTATTCTTGTATGTAATGATCTCATGGAAGTCCTATCACTCGTATGAAATACTTCATAGCATTTAGCACCGATTTGTCATATTGCTAAATCTTTTCATTAAATTTGGAGTGTTATTTAATCTTTATTTAGGTCTCGTTTGGTTGACATGGGAAATAAATTTTCACGGGAAGTTGTATTTCATGGGAAATTATTTCCTAAATGGAATTTCTATAAGTTGTTTGGTTGTGTAATAGAAAGTTGTAATTTCTATGAATTTTGAATGACCAAGGGGGTTAGATAATTTATTTCATATATTTTGTGGGAACTGGATATTCTTATGAATTCCAATTTCCCCTTTTTTGTTTGTATTGTGTCAACCAAATAACTACCTAAATTACAAAATCTCATGAATTTTCACTTCTCTCATTTTATTTTGTCAACCAAACAACCTTTTACTGTAGTATTTTAAGATAATACTAGTTTAAATCCCGTGCAACGCACGGTTTTTACTTAATCAAATTATGAATCAGTGAATTATAATGTTAATACAACAATAATTTTTTTTTTCCAAAAAAAAAACAATATTTTTAATTGAAACAAATACTTGAATTTCTTTTCAAAAAAAACAAAACAAAACAAAAAAACTTGAATTAATATTATATTGTTATCAAAAGTTATTGATTATTAAACATTAAAAAAAAAACCACAAAAATTTAATGATTATAGCGTTTTATATGAGAATGCAATTTATAATTATAACCCGTGCAATGTAATTATATACCCATATGTCCCTATTTTGTTGGCATGTTTTGACCGGCACAATATTTTATAGCATACTATAACTGGCACAATGTTTTACAAATTTAATTGACTAATTTTTATGAAAATTAATAATCATGATTTTTTAATTTTGTTTTATATTTATGTTTATAGTTGTTGGATTGTAATTGTTTTATCAAATCCTGGTTATAGCAAAAAAAAAACTTTCAAAGAAAAAATACATTGTAGAATGATACGAAGTACGGGAGTAATACATTTTATTATTCTAATATATTACCTTATTATGTGTTTGTTTATTATAGAAAAATACATATTATAAAAAATACGAAAGATATGCATACAGAATATATTTCGTATATAGTTGCCAAATTGAAAGTTAAATATCATAGGATATATAAAATATTAATGAAGATTTTGTACAAAAAAAGAAAAAAAAATGGAAAGAAAAAAGTGGCGGGAAAATTTTTAATCGGAACATGACAAGTGTTATGTCAGATTCGCTTTTAGTATTATGTAATTGAATCCCGTGCAACGCACGGTTTTTACTTAATCAAATTATGAATTAGTGAATTATAATGTTAATCCAACAATAATTTTTTTTTTTCCAAAAAAAAAAACAATATTTTTAATTGAAACAAATACTTGAATTTCTTTTCAAAAAAAACAAAACAAAACAAAAAAAACTTGAATTAATATTATATTGTTATCAAAAGTTATTGATTATTAAACATTAAAAAAAAACCACAAAAATTTAATGATTATAGTGTTTTGACCGGCATAATATTTTATAGCATACTATAACTGGCACAATGTTTTACAAATTTAATTGACTAATTTTTATGAAAATTAATAATCATGATTTTTTAATTTTGTTTTATATTTATGTTTATAGTTGTTGAATTGTAATTGTTTTATCAAATCCTGGTTATAGCAAAAAAAAACTTTCAAAGAAAAAATACGTTGTAGAATGATACGAAGTACGGGAGTAGTACATTTTATTATTCTAATATATTACCTTATTATGTGTTTGTTTATTATAGAAAAATACCTATTATAAAAAATACGAAAGATATGCATATAGAATATATTTCGTATATAGTTGCCAAATTTAAAGTTAAATATCATAGGATATATAAAATAATATTAATGAAGATTTTATACAAAAAAGAAAAAAAATGGAAAGAAAAAAGTGGCGGGAAAATTTTTAATCGGAACATGACAAGTGTTATGTCAGATTCGCTTTTAGTATTATGTAATTGATTCTTGAGTTTGTTTTTAAAATCTTGCAAGAATTTTCAAAAGGAAACAAAAAGAAGAGGGAGAATTCTCTAAAAAAAAAAAAGGAGAGGGAGAAAAAAATAATGAGAGACTTCTTCAACTAATAAATATAAGGGTGTATTCTTTTCACCTTATTGAACCTGAAGTTATCTAAACTGAACTTATTAAACTTATTGGAACATGTTATACCTGATTGAACGGACCTTATTGGACCTTATTATTAGAACTTATTAACTTATTGGAATTAATTAGATTTTTGTAATTAAACCTTATTTAACTTATTGGAACTTATTACGAGATCTTTTTGAACATATAATACCTTATTGAATTTATTAGCCCTTAAACTGATCTAAGCCTATTAGACCTGAAATTTATTTATACTACCTCCGTCCCCGAAAGAACGATCCATTTAGCCTAATTTTAGTCCCAAAAAGAATGACCTATTTGCATTAAAACACCCACCAATTTGCAACAATATTTGTACAAAATTAGCTTCCCCATATAAAAATTTGATTTTCCATATAATTTTATTACTCTCTCTCTATTTTTTTACAAACCCCATGTAAATTTATCTTTCAATATACTTTTACTTTTTTTTATTTAACTTTCTTAATACCCGCGTAATCAACCCAAATGGGTTGTTCTTTCGGGGACGGAGGGAGTATATATATATATATATATATATATAAAAGGTGAAGAGAATAAAGCTAAATGTCATACGAAGTATAAATTTTGTACGGAGTAAAAAACAAGTCAAGAGTGAAATTTAGAATAAGTTAATATTACTATTAATCCATGAGAAATAATTGTTCACCAAAAAAAAAAAAGTACGAAGTACTCAATTCCCAAACCACTTTTTAATAAATTCCATAAATATTGTCCACGTAAGCGAGAGGCAAAAAACCCGGTTTTTTTTATTGGTTCAGAGAAAACCGCTATTTGAAATGGCGGTTTTCAAAACTGAAGGCCACTACTTGAAGTAGCGGTTTTCGAAACTGAAAAACCGCTACTTGAAGTGGCGGTTTTCAAAACTGAAGGCCGCTACTTCAAGTAGCGGTTTTCAAACTGAAAAACCGCTTGGGTTCGTTTGGCATTGTTGCGGTTTTCAGTTTTTTGGTTTTTTGTATTTTAAAAGTGTATGATATATGTCATATAATAAATAAAAAATTAGTCAAACTTATTAAAATCATGCTAATTTTGAAAACTGACAACTGAAAAGTGAAAACACCTTTTTCTTGTTTCTTGTTTTTTGTTTTTTGTTTTCAAAAAAACTGAAAATTAAAAACAAAAAACAATACCAAACAAGCCCGAAGTGGCGGTTTTCAAAACTGAAGGCCGCTACGTAATTCAAGTAGCAGTTTCTATTGTAACTTAAAAAAAATAAAGCAATAGCATCCTGCAACCTGATTTTTTCAACAAACAAATAATCAAAAAAACAAAAAAGATCACATAAGTATAATACTTCAAGATTGATACTTGGAAGAAAAGAAAATTGGACCCAATTAAGATCGATAATACTCCAAATCAAACAAAAACAAAACTTAAAAAAAAAGGGTAAATTCAGTTAAAACTTAATTTGATTAGATCTAGATTACATAATTACAAAAATTGAAAAAATTAACAAGTGAATTGAAAAAAAAAAAATATGAATTTAGCGCTTATATTGACAATTAGATTGAAATTACTACCTCCGGTCCAAATTACTTACAACTTTGAAATATTTTATATCTCACAAATAATACCCCAAAGTTGTGAATAATTTGGACCAGAGGTAGTAGGTATAAATTATACTATTAACCCTCCATCCCTTAATTACAACATCAACGGTGAAAAGTATTGACGATGGCGGCCGCAGCTATTCTCCAACATCAAACGGGGCTTTGAGCGGCGGCATCAACAGGAACTTGAACGATTATTCTTATTCTCACTGTCTCAAGTTTGAATTCTAGAAAAAAAATCCATCTCTTATTGGCGGTTTGCTAAGATAAAAACCCGATTAATCTTAATTAACCAACACTTCAAATAGCGGTTTTCACAAAAAATCGTAAAAAAAAAAAAAAAAAAAAAAGCTTGAATCGGTGACGTGAACAGTAAAGTGGGAATTTATAAAAAAAATGACAACATTTGTGGAATTGTAACTTTTGGTAGCATTATTTAGGGAAAGAGCTCTAGAGAACTTACTACGGAGGATATTACGGAGTATGAAGAATTCTACATGGAATGTCAATAAAATAGAAAGACACACCTCGTAATTCGACCATTTGAATAATCCGTAATTAATATCCTAATTGCAAAACTTATCAAATAAGTCAGCAAATATCTACACATGTTTATAATTTTAGAATACTCCATGATTCCTAATATCCTATTGCATTTTGTTTCAAAATGTATAGTTTCAAAATATTAGTGTATTATTTAACTTTCAATCATTCATATTTCCTTCGTTTTTTAAAGTGTCTCATTTAGTCTTTTACAATATTCACATATATCAATTTGATTGGGTGATTACTAGAATCATTTTTTTTTTTTTTTTTTTTTTTTGACAAAGGATAAAAGGACAGAACCTAAAACAAATTACTGCTAAAGCAAATGAGATGGACAGCAGCTTCCCCTGCAATTTGGTGCGCCCTGTGAACGCGTGCCCGATCAGCTTTATAAATACTACACTGGTGGAAGGTAGACCCTACACGTTGGATTCGTTGCACCAGCCATAAATACCGAATATCCCCTCGTCCATCGCCGCGCAGAAGAGTGACAAGATTGTAAGAATCTGTAAACAGATGAAACGATTGAATGCCTACATTTGAAGCCCATTGCAAGGCATAGTAACAGGCTAAGGCTTCCGAGTGAAGAGAAGAGGAGCAAAACTCAAAATTACTCCCACCAACAATCCTATCATCCAGAGGATCTGTATTGTCGAGACACCAACCCATTCCTGCTTGTTGTGTGTCTTTGAACCAAGAACCATCTACCTGAATCGTTAAGAATGATGAGCCTGAGTGGTTGTGCCCTAAATGGGCTACATGAAACCCAGGCGGGGGCAAACCAGGGAGATCAGCAGGAGAGAGAGAAAGCTCCCTCCCTGTGTCCCCGTCCATATAGATAGTATGAGAGTGAAGAATATCCACTAGTTGCAGATCAAAGGGTCTTGTGACAGAAGTGTCAGGATTGAAAACCCTGTTATTTCTAAATAACCAAAGACCCCATTGATAGGTTGTCGTACACCTGTCAAAAATAAATTCCTAACAAACCAACTAACAATGTAGTAGGGTAAGTAGGGTCGAATCCACAGAGAGATGGCTATTTAATATAGCTTTCAAGGTATGGAGAAACTAAACTATGTCACGAAATTGGGATAGAAAAATAGTCTAAATTAAAATAGAAATAAAACAATTAATAAAAAGACCTAGGGTTATAGTTCACCATGTTTATAGCTCTAAATCTATCAAATATCAATAACAATTCAATCAATCAATTATCTAGAGCAATTGCTAAGCCTACGGTCGGGTCTTAACGCTCTCAATTCAACATATGCAGTACGGTCGCTAACATAATCAGAATTGCTAATTGTAGGGAAGCCTCTAAAAGTAAGATCTTTCGATTCATACTCTTATTAACAATAATTAATCAAACAATTGATCAGGTTGCAAGATTAACAACAAAACACTATCAATTAGAGAAATCAATTGTCAAAATATTAAAATTATCAATCAAGATTCATCATATAAACATGGATTCCCAAACCCTAGAAATAAACTACTCAAACATGGAAGAAATAATTAAAACTGGATCTAAGGAATAAAACATAATTAAAAATAAGAAATAGAAATAAAATACCTCAATGAATTGAAATAATAAACCCAAGAATCATCCATGGAAGAATCCATGAAGATGCCATGAGAAACTAGGGTTTGAGAGAAAACTGAAAAGAACGTAAAATAATAAAAAGCATAAAAAAAAGGCATAAGGGAAAAATAATATCCCTTGAGTATTTATAATATTCTAAAGATAATTAAAATAAAATAAAATCAGAAAAATAGCAATTACAATAGTCGTGATATGATTGATCGATTGAAAGAGTTATAATCGATGTAGGATTTCTCGTGGCTTGCGCGCACACCCCACCCATTGGGCGATGGATGGCCGATGGTCAGAACGACACCCAACCAGCAGCTCACGCTCGAGCGTACATCACGTCCATCGCCCGATGACTGGGTGAGGGGTTGGCAGCTTCGCAGGATTGACTTCAAAGGGATGTATCTCGCGTTCTAGGAACTGTATAGGGGCGTGTGACCTATCAATGGAAATCTCTTCAAGTCTAGTTTCCAAAGCAATTTGAATCACCTCAATCCAATCTGTAGAACTCAAGTTATGATCAAAAGAGTGAATAAGAGTCAGTTTTACCACTTTGTAAAACATCGTTTAACTTCGTTTCTAACTCAAATTCAATTCCGAAAAGTGCGTAACGATCATTGTGGATGCTATTTTCATTTCTCATGCATAAAATACTCATAGTCAACATCCACAAACATGAGATCTTCGATTAATAAGCTCAATTCATCGACTTTTCATCTAAATATCATCCGAATCAACTCCAAACACTTCGAAAGCGTCCAAATGACTATAAAATCACCTGAAACATCAAGACAAACACAAACGGAGCGTAATAGAGCACAAAACAAACAACTTATGCATTTTACGTCCTAAAAAGCAAGAAAAGACCTAAAAAGCTACTATAAACTTAGCATAAACGTGCCTATAAACTCTATATAAATATGATTTATCACCTATAGAGTACCAACAAAGGTGCTAATACTGGGACTGAAAAGTCCATCCTGACTAATGAAAAGTCGGATATAGTCTTGGATCCAATCTGAAAGAGAAAGGTGTCCATGTAATTCTGAATGGATGCCCACGGCACCACTCCTCCAAGCTGTTATTGCAATAGTGCAATCTCGGAACAGATGGTTGAAATCTTCCTGCTGTGTACTGCATTGATCACAGGACACATCCTGTATGGGAACCCCCTTGCGTTGAAGCTCACTTTTGACCGCTAGACCGTTGTGGAATAACTTCCATAAAAATAGTTTCCACTTTGGCTGTAACTGCAGGGACCAAAGGATTTTCCAAAACGGACTTACTGAATAAGAAGTAAGCGGCTGAGTGAGCATTGCATAACCTGTCTTAACCGAGTAATTCCCTGACATAGTGCTTGCCCAAAAGCGGAAGTCCTCCTTCTGCAAAGTTGGAAATTCCATGGCAAGAATTGTGGAAGCATCCGCCGGTATAAAACACTGATGTACTTTGTCCACATCCCAAGTGAGGGTCTGAGGATGAATGAATAAATTAACTGTCCAATCCTTCGCAGTGGCGAGGAGGACCCCTGGGTGGAAGGTAGGCAATTTACCATTTACCCAATTTGAACTTCCAGCTAGAATGGAATTTCCATTGCCGACCTTCCAATTGCACCCCGTTGACAAAAGAGAATCTGCATGAAGTAGACCGCGAAGACCGTAGGACTGTCGACCTGAGTAGCGTCTTTCCTGAGAAGGAGTTGGCGACAAGAAGCGAGCACGAGCAGAATAAACTTTGGAGATGAGCAGCTGAGGGTGGGTAACAATTCTCCAAACTTGATTCATAAGAAGAGATTTATTTAGAGTTGAGATACACCGAATTCCTAACCCACCCATTCCTTGAGGAAGATGCATCTTCCTTTTCCCTACCCAATGCAATTCCCTGAATTCCGGAGTGGGACCAGAAAAATTTTAATAATAAGCAATCGATTTTCCCAGTAATTGAGGTTGGGATTTCAAAGCATGAGAGGAGATGAGAAGCCATGGCCACCGAGATGGAGTTAATGAAGATTAACTTTTGTGACTGCGAGAGTCTGACAGCATTGAGCGTCGTTACGCGACCAACAATTTTGTCGACAAGAAATTGGAAACAATCTTTTTTCTTTGCCATGAAATCAATGGGGGATCCCAGATGATGATCAAACCCTTGAACTTGTGTCATACGGAAAATCGCTTTAAATTCATCCTGAGCCAGCGTAGTAGTGTTAGGACTGAATTTAATCAGAGACTTATTGAGATTCAGCTGTTGACCCGAAATCTTAGTATAGCGACGAATAATCTCTATAATATTCGTACAAGAAGGAGCAGACGCTCTGAAGAAGACCATCGCATCGTCAGCAAAGAAAAGGTGGGAGATAACAGGACTTGACCTAGAGATATTTATTCCTTGAAACAAATGCAAATCCTGACCCAAGTGTAGCATTCTGGAAAGAACATCCATGCAGAAAAGAAAGAGGTAAGGGGATAACGGATCCCCCTGACGGAGGCCACAGTTAGGCTTAAAAGCCTCAGAAGTATTACCATTGATTAGAGATTTATAGGAGACTGTGGAAATGCACTGGTGAATCATTTGGAGCCATCTGGCTGGGAACCCATAGGCTTGAAGCACCCGTAAAAGGAAACTCCAGTGAACTCTGTCATAGGCTTTACTCATATCGATCTTGAGTGCAGCAAGCCAATTAGTACCAGTCTTGGAAGAATTGATTTTCTCCATTAATTCATGGGACATTAGAATATTATCTAAAATAACCCTCCCTTGGACAAAGGCATGTTGAGAATCCGAGATTAACCCAGGCAAATACGGACGGATTCTAGCAACCAAGCACTTAGAAGCACATTTGTAGATTGTATTACAAAGGCTAATAGGCCGAAGGTGGGAGACCTCCAAAGGAGTAGCAATCTTTGGAATCATGACCAGGAGTGAATGATTCCATTCTTTAAGAAGGAACCCCGACAGAAAGAAACTCTGTACAGCTGCAACCACCAAAGCACCCACCGTGTGCCAATGAACTTTGAAAAATTCTGCCGTAACTCCATCTGGACCTGCGGACTTACAATTTCCCAAATCAAACATTGCATCTTGAATCTCAGTTGCGTTAAAAGGTCGTTCTAGATTACTAGTCTGCGAAGAAGTAAGAGAAGGGAGGTGCAATTCCTGAAGAACAGTGTCAATCTCCAGATCATAAAGAGGAATAGCATTACATTTGAAAGTCTCCTTTAGAGAGCGAACTACGATGTTCTGGACCTCCTGATGACCATGCTGCACAAGACCTTGGTCGTCAACCAGGGAACAAATAACATTCTTCTTCTGACGATACTTAACTTTTGAGAACAAGAGTTTAGAAGAGCAGTCTCCTTTGAGAATCCAGTCCTTTTTGCATCGCTGTCTCCAGAATTGGAGTTGTAATAAAATATTTTCCTTAGAGGTAACTATATTCGATAAGTAGTTCGAAGCATCCGAGATAGAATGCAGTGTCTCCCCTTCAATCGACAGATCCTGAGAGAATTTTTTCCAGTCAACACCCCAGAATTTCTTATTATTAAGACATCAGTTTCGAATTAAGGATCGAACATAGCTCAGTTTTTTGGAAAGAGAAAACATGGGAGAGCCTGTATTATCGAGTAGCCAAGTGTGGCTGACAAAGTCATGGACCTGTTGAAAATTAAGGCACCAATTATCCAATTGGTAAGGCCTATTTGAGATATGTTGAAAAACAGAGTCCTCAAAAATGATAGCAGCATGGTCCGAAACAAGAATAGGTTGGTTGAGCAACCTACTTTCCGGGTAGTTTGTAAACCAGGTGGAAGTCATGTAGGAGCGATCCAGACGTTGGAGAATGAGTTGACCCCCCTTGCGATTATTAGTCCAAGTAAACGGAGGGCCTTTGAATGGCGTGGAGAAAAGGCTTGATTTTAGAAGAAAATCAATAAAGGATTCCCACCCTCTAATAACAGCAGAACCACCTAATCTATCAGAGTGATGTTCGATTTGATTAATATCTCCAATAATCAAAGTATTAAGTGCTATGGCTAATAAGTCTAAAATTAAACCCAAACTTGGGGTCGATATTCTAGTACTGGATCTCCATAAACAAACATCACACACTTATCTATTTCATTAGGAGTCTTTACATTACAAAGGATAACATTAGAGGAGCAAAAAACATAAGAGACAGCTTCCGAGCCGTACGCAAAAACAACTAGACCACCACTAGTACCTAAGGCATCCGAGCCCTTCACAAAACTAGGATTAGAACAACCTAGCAAACTAGAAACAACCGACACAGACACTTTAGTTTCACTAAGAAACAAAAAGTTAGGCTTGTACTCATGTAACAACCAAAAAACATAAGGGAGCTTGGGTGAGTTATTGTCATTTAGACCCCGACAATTCCAAGATGTAACAATCATAGGCACCTTGGGAGTTGTGAAGGGCCAGCCGCCAAACCAAAATTCACACAAGTAGCAGAAGACATAGAACCCGCAAATGACGTAGCATTCGAGCTAGTAGCATTACCAAAGGAAGCAGCAAGACCCTCCATTTTTTGGTATTTAAGAGTGGAAGAAAGCCAAGCATCTGTAACCTTCCTTTTGCAGCTAGAACGAACCGTGCCTGCCTTATTGAATTCGGCATTCAAAAAGGACGATGAAGATGAGCCATAGAAGCCCAAGTGCTCAGCAGCCGAGACATCCGAGTAACATTTTTCTTGTGGCACAGAAAGTGTAGGCGAAGGAGGAAAAAACAAATAGTCGCCCTTGCTGTATAAATTAAGAGCTTTTATTTTCCTTGTTTTTTGATACCAAGTGGAGCCTGCATATCCGAAAAAGGGGAGCTGATCGTAGGACCTGCACCGAGTAAAAGGGCCTTGGCGACTTCGCTTTTTATCACAGCCCGTCTAATTTGAATGCGGGAACTGTGTTGCTTGAGCTGTGGGCTTAAAGGCCTGCCCTGCATGGACTTGGTAAGTAGAAGTAACACAATGTGAGTCCACATGTTCATTAATTGATAGCGTTGCAAAGAGACTCGACACATCTAAGTCCATGGGAATAGAAAAATCAGAGGCTGCAGTTGAGATATCAAAGCTAAAATTCGAAGGAATATCAGAGCTTGCATTCGAGCTTTCAGACAATAAGCTATCTTCCAATGGAGCAGACATACGAAAACCCCCACCTGACTGAGCAGCTGCACGGTGAAAGGTATAAGGCTCGTAAGGGTCACCAGAAGGAATAGGAATCCTTCCCTGATGTGCAGCTGCGTTAGCAGCAGCGAGTGCAGCAACTAACTCATCCCGATTCTCTTCAATGAACCTTGTTGAACTCGGGTTATGGTAAGAATCCAGGGTTGTATGATCTGTTTCAGAAGAAGCCGAATTATGAATCCCCTTAGAAGAAGCAGAATCATAAGTCGTTGAATCCGAATTAGAAGAAGAATGCACATAATTCGAATGAGATAAGTAACCATTTTCATAGACTCCATTTATTGGAATAAACTCAGGGTCTATGTTTTCATTGTTATCCCCTGTAGGAGCCGCTGCTTGCACATGCCCATTTGGCATCCCATTACCCCCTGCTCCTAACGACCCAGAATCAGAGTTATCAGGCTCAGAACCATTATCCGAATCTTGATTGTCATCACCATTTTGATCATCATCAGGAGGTTCCTGATCGTCTTCATTCTCATCATTATCCTCATTATAATTTCCATGGGGATTATTATCATCATCATTATCATTCTCTTCATCATTATCATTCTCATTAAGTGCATGAGCAGAACCCGAAGAGTCTTCATCATCAAACTCAAAATCTTGCGCTAAAATCAGCAGATTAACTCTTGTGTTTCGATTGGTGAAAACATCATGAGTACCCTCAATCATGTTTGTGTAAAAAGGCCTGAGATTTTGATTGTAAAGCACCGTTAATCCCAGCGCCTCGAAAGCTTCTAAACGGGAATTAATTCTTCTAATCCGAGCTATGACAGAAATCAGAAAAATGACCAACCAGCCCGCATTTTTTACAGAACATAAAAACTCCCTCATAGCGAAAATACACCCATAATGGCGCACCATCACCTGGAACAAAGCAGCCAGGAATTAACGGTTTAGAAAGGTCGACCATAATCTGACCCCACAATTCAGGCTCGGCAGGAAGGCCATCACCATCATATTCAAGCGTTTCGACTAACCCTACAAGCTTAAGGGTTTCAACAGCCCACTCCGGGTCTAGAAGCCCTAAAGGAAGCCCATAAACTCGAATCCACAGCCTAGTAATGTCAAAATTCACATTGGCAGGGACGGTGTACCTATTACATCTACGAGTATTGCAAATACGGCCATCCAAGACGAAGGTGTGTTGCTCAAGAAGTGCTTCTACGTCGGCTAAATTTGAACATGCAAAAACATAATAACAACCAGTGCGATGAACAACAATATTACCTCGTGAGAGCCATTGAGAATCGACCATCTGTTGGATAAGCGCCCTACAAGGAGGAGTGGGACTAAAGAATCTTCCAATAACCGCTTTGTTCTAGTCAATATTCATAATATAATTCTCCAACGGTTGATTTAAATAAACCCCAGATTGGTACACGGTCCAATGATTATTATGCGCCATAATGAACTCAACCACCAAGAACAAGGTAATTAAGAGAGTAGGGTAAAAGAACAGAGTAAAAAAACAGAGCAGTAAAGAGTGGCAATAAATGTTAAGCAGTAGAAAGAGAATAGGAAGAAGAAGTCACTAGTAGAAAAATAGTAATAGGCACCCCCTATATGGCACCGGTTTAGGCCAAACCGGTGCCAAAAATCGGCCCAAAGTTGGGTGGTTATGCCCCGAGCAGTTATCCACTACTAAAATCATAGGCAACCCCCATGACGTGTTGTAATATGTTGAACAGAGTATAAGGGAATCAGCGCGTGCGGGAGACAAGTTCATATTCGCCCCATGTTATAGAGAGTAAGTCTAACCATGTCAAATTCAATCGATTTGGCCTCATTATATGTTGACTCCTAAATATTAATTACCTTGTCTATTGTGAACTTATGTAGGGAGCATTGGAGCCTCATGGTGATTTGTAATTCCACTAACACAATTTATCACCTTGATTCAGCTCGATCATCGGAGAAGTGGCTCGTGAAGTCTATATTGCAAAAGTAAATATATATAGCGACCTAGTGATGATTATTGCTAATAATAACTAATTTAGTAATCATACGACTAATCAAATTTGAATGTACTTTTTTATACTACAGTGTTATGAATAAGCTACATTGTCGTGCTCCAAAGGGTCCAACATGGAAGACACCGTTGGTAATTTACATGATATTGTGATTATCTTGAAAATCTATGGTAGTAAATATTTGCTCATTTCCTTTGCATGTTTCACTGATGTGATTTGTTTGTCATATGCTAGTGCGCACAACAAGAGAATGGACTTGATTGTGCTTTGTATGTGATGAGATTCATGCTTGACATTGTGACTCATTGTACGGACACTCAACAGCTTGATGAGGTAAGTCCTAAAACTTATTGAAATGCTATATTGATGTGATTTCACGCCTTAGACACCTAATATTACCCAACAATGGCATGTTATGAGAAACAAAAAAGCTATTTCACAAGAAAGGTAGAAAATGGGCTGAATAGAAGTCATATGGGCCATATTAGGGCCATTTTGCGTTAATATGCTCTTTTGATGTGATTTCTTTCCTTATACACATATAACTAGATAATATTGACATGTTATGAGATAAATAAAGTTCATTTAATAAGAAATGTAGGAAATGGGCAAAGTAAGGTCATGTAGGCCATATTCGGGCCATTTTGAGTAAAAATCGTCATAAACCTTAATAAAATGCTCTCCTATACAATTTTAGGGCTTACACACATACAACTACCCAACATTGACATGTTATGAGAAAGAAATAGTTCATTTGATAAGTAATGTAGAAAATGGGCTACATAGAAGTCATATAAGCCCTATTTGGGCCATGTTGAGTAAAATGCGTTGTTAAACTTCTTGAAATGCTATATTGATGAGATTTCTAGCCTTAGACACCTAATATTATCCAACAATGACATGTTATGAGAAACAAAAAGGCTATTTCACAAGAAAGGTAGAAAATGGGCTGAATAGAAGTCATATGGGCCATATTAGGGCCATTTTGTGTTAATATGCTCTTTTGATGTGATTTCTTTCCTTATACACCTATAACTAGATAATATTGACATGTTATGAGATAAATAAAGTTCATTTAATAAGAAATGTAGGAAATGGGCAAAGTAAGGTCATATAGGCCATATTCGGGCCATTTTGAGTAAAAAGCGTCATAAACCTTAATAAAATGCTCTCCTATACAATTTTAGGGCTTACACACATACAACTACCCAACATTGACATGTTATGAGAAAGAAATAGTTCATTTGATAAGTAATGTAGAAAATGGGCTACATAGAAGTCATATAAGCCCTATTTGGGCCATGTTGAGTAAAATGCGTTGTTAAACTTCTTGAAATGCTATATTGATGTGATTTCTAGCCTTAGACACCTAATATTATCCAACAATGACATGTTATGAGAAACAAAAAGACTATTTCACAAGAAAGGTAGAAAATGGGTTGAATAGAAGTCATATGGGCCATATTGAGACTATTTTGTGTTAATACAATTATCCAATATTGACATGTTATGAGAAAGAAATAGTTCATTTGATAAGTAATGTAGGAAATGGGATATATAGAAGTCATATAGGTAATATTTGATAAAATACATATTGTTTGCCTAATTAATTATTTTTAAAATAATTTTTTTGTATTTCAAGTTTTGCAAGGTCCAAAAGGATGGTCCGTTGACAATCAAGGAGCTTAATGAAGTTCGTGACATGTTGGCGTCTTTTATCATCTTCAACATGTAAATGGCATTGTAATTGTAAATTATTTATGTTAACTTTTGAACTATATAACTTATTATTCATTATATATGTACGTACTTACTATTATTTGTATATTTAAGCAACTTTTTTTTTTTTTTTGTATTGCGTTTGGGATATTTATATCTATATATATAATTGAATTCTTGTTTTTAATATTATTTTTGTATCTTATTGTAATAATTAATAATATTATTATTATTAGTTATTATAATAATAATATTATTAATTATTATATTTAATATAATTGCTGGAATTACAGGTTATTATTATTGCTGGAAACATGTTTTTTTTTTAAATATTATTGCACGATGGACAAAAAAAAAACAAAAAAATAATAATTTAGTGAATAGGCACCGGTTAGGCAGCAACCGGTGCCTAAAATATCTACCACCAAAAGAAAATTTGGCGGGAGAGCAGTTTTAGGCACCGGTTAACTGGTGCCTATTTTACCCTATAGCACCGGTTAACCGGTGCCTATTCTACTCTATGGCACCGGTTTTGAACCGGTGCCAAAAACTGGGTTTTTGGCTCCTCTCACATAGGCAGCGGTTCAAATCGGTGCCTTAGACCGGGTTTGAACCGCTGCCTAATGCCTTTTTTCACCTAGTGAGTAAAGGAATACTGAAAAATATTTTTAAAAAGAATCCCAAATTTAACTGAGATTGACACAAATACACTAAGCTTACTCTTACAGTTGCATGATTTCCACGTGTAGAGCTTAGGAACACAAAGAACAGGCCACGTATAAGAAGAGGCCTCAAGAACAAACCTTTGAGAGCAAGGAAAAATCCCAGAGAGATAAAAAGAGAATAAAATAAACCAAAAACCAGATTGGTTAGAAGTAAAATGGGGCCCTAACACCAAAAATCAGCTTGACTATAGAAAAAGAAACCTTAAAAAGAAGGAATTTGGAGGAAATACTCAAGAACAAGAGGTGTATCCTAGAAAACTAGGAACCGACAAGGTAATTGTTGAGAGAGTTTTAACCTGCTTGCTTGAGTTAGGGTTTTTTTTGTGGCGTTTAACCTTTTTACTAGAATCATTTCAATGTATAGTTTTTAAATATCAATTTCTCATACTTAAAAATATTAATTATTTTAAAATTATTGGTAAAAGTCCACTTGACAAATATGCTGGTTAAATTAATCAAATGCATATGTGTTGGCGAAATTGAGACACTAGAAAAAAATAGGAGTAATACTTTATGAATTATACAAAAAAATTTCCTTTCAAAAATTAAAATAAAAAATTGCACAAATAAATTAACAAAAAACAAAAATACAACGAGTGAGTCAAGGAAAATGATTAAGCAAATATGCTATACGGTTTCAGACAGGCTGTTTCAGAATTATTAGTTTTCAAACCAGAAGAAATCGAACATAATTTCCCCTCATTCCCATACTACCCTTCTCATGTTTCCCAAACTCCATACCAAGCCCGTAATTAAACCCATTTTTCAAGGGTAAAACCGTCAAAACACCCAAATTCCATACCCCCACTACCTCCTTCAAAACAATCATCAACTCGAAAAAACACCTTCATCTCTTTCTCTCTCCTCAAAATCAGATCTAAAACTCAAACCCTAGAAAAAAATTCATCCCCAAATTTAGCAATGGGGGATTTCAATCTAGCATTGCTTCTCGTCGCCATTATCGTAACTGTGTTAGTCTTCGTCTTCAATGTCTACCTTTTGATCAATTACCAGCACCCTGATGATGTTAATCAAGCTTACTTCCCTAAATTCGTCGTCGTTTTGGGGCTTTCTGTTGCTGTTATCTCCATTCTTATGCTTCCTGCTGACGTCGCTAATCGGCATGCTTGTCGTCATGCTCTCTACAATGGCGCTTGTCATTTGACGTTGCCGATGAAGCAGCTTTGGCTTGCTATTTATATTATCGACGCTATTCTTGTTTTCTTTGTGATTCCCTTTGCTATGTTTTACTATGAGGGAGACCAGGACAAGTATGGTACATTGCTCTGCTGATTTATTGAGTTTTTGGTTATGAATTTGAATTTTGTTTGATGATGTTGATGGGTCTGATTTGGGGTTTTTGTTGTTGTGGTTGCAGGAGTATTGGAAAGCGGGTTAAAAGCGCGGCGATCTGGGTGGGTGTTACTGCCGTCGTGTGCGGTCTTACATTAGGAATTCTATATGGTGAGGCATTACTTGAATTTGATCCTAAGTATTGACTATTTTGTTGCCTGTTTGCAATTGTATATTTTCAATGTGATGTGAGAGGAGTTGCTTTTATGCTGTGCTTGGAATGAGGGAAATGAATTGGGGGTGTCGGGAATTGACATTTGAGGGTAAAATCAGGGGTGGTTGGTGTGTGGAGGAACTATTGTGATCCTGCATTTATCTTGCGATGAATGTCTTAGATTTGGATGTGATCCTATATTATGTATGTGTGTTGGATTTGGACGCTGTATCTTAGTCCGGCACTCTTGGCATGTCTGAGTAACATAGAATCTTGGAGGAAGTAGGAGAACCTAATCACCTATCACCACTGTCCCTCCATAGTTTATTTACTAGTTTAGCATTATACCCTTGTTGATTTTCCTCATTTAAAGCATGGTCAGTGGATATCAAAGAGAGTCTCCATGTTATATAGAAGTGAGGTAGTGTATATCCAACCAAGTCTCTGTCTTTTGTCCCTTATAAAAAAGAAATAGCACCTCCAATATGGCCCCGTGGATCTAATAGCCCGTGGTCAACTGAATTGAGCAGCGATGTAAACATTAATCCTATAAAATATATTAGATTCTTCCCATCTCACATTGGCTATTGTAGTGGCTGTTTTATAGTCAGGAATTGGAAGCCACTTAGATTATTATTTTCTCAGGAACTGAGAACTGAAAATTATCATCTAAACTATAGGACTTTGGGGTATCTTGGTTGGGAACCACTGAACCAGCCACTTGGTCTAGAAACAACATCCCGTTTCCCTTATGATTTAGGATGTTTCTCCTTAATGGGAATGCTTACCCTTTATTGTCCTTTTAGATCTCTACTCATCAAAACATATTACTTGTAAAGTAAAAGGGTTAATATCCCTAGAAAAGGGAGAGGGATTTTGTGGACATGGAGCATTGTTTGTAGGCTCATAAACATTTAAGTGTTTCTTCTCATTTCTGTAATTTGTCATTGAATCTGGTTGTTTCCATCCTTGTTGCCTGCATGACTGCAATTTTTTTTTCCCAACTCCCCTTTTATAAATTTATATCTATCAATGTAGATGCCAGGTCAAAGACTATTTGGTCAAGTTCTCTGTTTTTGGTTACTGATCTAACTTTTTGTTGGGTGGTTCTGCCATGTGTGACTATATGAGGAGCAATTGGTGCAGTTCTTTCCGATTCTTCCTCATTTGTGGATTTGATCTGTGGTGAAAAATGTCTATGACACTTTTGACTGCGAATAAGATCTCAAAGGCAGGAGAGATCCTGGAAAAATTAGATTTACATTAATGTCCATAGGATGTGTATGTAGCCTTTTTACTAGTACAAGGGTGAGGCCCCCTACCGCCCTTTGTGTGGTCCCTAATTGGAACTTTATAGACTTTGCATAATGTTTAAGTTGCTCTATGCATGAGCCATAGGCCTACAAGCTAGAAAAAGAGATTTGGATAGATGGGAGATAGTTGATGCTAGTTTTGGGTTGTGTTGGTGGGAATGGTCTTAGGTAAACAACCCATTATGGCTTGGTCCCTTATTTGTACTAATTTGCTTGTTTGTACCCATTGGGTACCAAGAAAACCTATTTCTTTTTAGTTAAAACGTTTTTTTAATCATGTTTATCAATTATTATCTCTAATCATTGAAAAGTAATAATTACTAAAAAGTAGGATTATTAAAAAGTATAATTTATCAAAAGTAGATATTAATAAATTGTATATTGAATGATTCAAACAAGATTCCATATGCCTATATATTATCATAACTATAATCGCACAATCTAGTCAAATTAAAGTTTGTAAATAATGCCAAAAATCAAAATATGTCAACTTAAAAAGAACGGAGGAAGTATATTGGCGAGCCTTGAATTTTGATTGATACAAATAAAAATATATATTGGTATTTAGTTGGGTACTATGTTTTATGTTAGTATTAAAAAGGACCAATAAAAGGTTTTTGCTTCTTCAAAATGGGTGCGAGCTATTATTGACCAAGCCAACCACACAAATAGTGGACAACTGAGGGTGTAGATGTGGGTAGGTGATATTGTGGGAATGGTGATGGGTTTAGGTGTGGGGCCTTTGGGTTTATATTAGAGATTTTTTATTATTAATTCTTTCTTCTAGGCAAAGGAGTAAGAGTCTTATAACTCATTAAAGGAAACACCTTTGACAAGTGGTGGGTTGGGTTAAAGTTCTACAGTTGCCACCTCATATTTGACTCCATAACTATTCCAAATTAACTGCGGGCTGAGAATACTTTTCTAAATGGGTATTTTTTTCACTGAGGTGTTGATGCAAGAGAATCTTTGAACTTCTTGACAATTATTTTTGCGCCCTTTTGGGCTGAAGTTTTGGAGGGCTCTTGTGAATTTTAATTGTTGTAACTTGTAAGTTTGCCCTGTAAATATTTATTTGTTGAACAATACAGAAAAAAAGCTGTGCATAGTTATTATGTTTGGTCTGTTGATTTATTTTTAGAACCTAAATATTATAAAACTCAATCTGTTGCTCAATTGATTTGTAAAATTTAATCCTAAAGTCCTTATTGTACTTTCAAATTAGAACTGAAGAACAAACCTCCTATCATTATGTCATTATGATTTAGACTAGTATGAATATGTTGTTTCAATCTATGTTCGTGGAAAGGTTTTTTTTTTTTTTAGTTTATCCATTATCGGCATCTGACTTCAGTCTTAATGTCTCAGGTGTTGTTGGTAAGGTGGACTTTACTGTTCGACATCTTTCTTCTAGCACAACTACATTTCCCGGCTCATGGAATGGAATTGTTTCTAGTTCCTCCCCATGTATTGGTAATTCGCGGCAGGTTAGGAACATAACTTTTTCAAGTATCTCTTGAGCTTTTATGTGCTGGTAATTCTAGTAACCCCCCCCCCCCCAAAATAAAAAATCTGGAAAAAATTAAGTAAAAATACGTATGGTCAAATGCATGGACACTATCTGTTTTGACATACACGTGTCATTATTTCATAAAAAAATTTTCCCACTAAAAAGTTTGTTACTTTTTTTTTTATTTATTTTTTTTTATTGAAAGAAGTTTGTTAAGTTTTAGCCTTATATTTAGGGAAGGAAATTAAAAGGTGTTGTAAAGAATAAAAAATGTTACGTGATATCACATAATACTACTTTTATTTGAGAATAAGTGCATACTAAAAATATTATTGCACCATACTCCTTCAATTTCTTCTCTAGATCACATTGCTCTTAATATATATATATATAATGTTTATTATACATTTTTTATGTTTTTTTTTTTTACTAACAATGATTTCGTTTTATAACGTTTTTAATAAACGAATAATGAAAGTATTATTATACTGTAAAACTGTGCAGAGCACGGGCTCTAAACTAGTATGTTTCTGATTACTTTCCTCTATGTTTACTTGTTTTTTATTCAGTGCTCTGCATATTCTGCTAGCCCTTCATCAGAGACTACATGGACTATGCGTACAACCTTCCCAGAATACGTTGTTGCTCTTGCAACTGTTGCAGGATCTGTTCTTTTCACGGTATGTTCTTCCTTTTTCAAATGCCATTATATATTAGTGTTCTTGATAGTTCCTCACTCTTGTTATCCCCTAAGACCATTAATAGTGAATGACTTATTTCTGACTGTCTTCAGTTTTTTAGGGAATTCCTTTCTTTGAAATTTCTTAGGGATGGTATTTTGCTGAAATACTTTGATCTTATCTTCCTATTCTGTCCTACTGTCTTCTTGAGGCGTCACTTACTTACATTGATGTGTTACTTATAATTTTAAAATTAAGTCTGAATGACTTTGACTGAACCTTGTTTTCTTAATTAGATATTTGGTGGTGCTGGTATTGCTTGTCTACCTTTGGGGCTCATATTTGCATTCTTTAGGCGTCCGAAAGCTGTTATAACTCGCTCACAGTATATTAAGGTATTCTCTTTGGTCACCTAATTTTGAAAACATGTTGAGAATTTTATGACCCTATTGCAAATTGTTTCTATATGTGCCATTCCATCTTTGTGTGCTTCTCATGTCCTGCTGATGTCTATTAGGAAGCTACTGAGCTTGGTAAAAAGGCAAGAGAATTGAAGAAAACTGCCGATGCTCTTCATCAGGAGGAAAGAAGTGGCAGCAAGGGAAGGAAATGGCGTAAAAATGTGAAAGCAGTTGAGAAGGTAAGGTAGCTGTTGTTTTGGATTAACTTCAGTAATCTTTCTTCATGATTTCATGCTTTTTTCCAAATTACGCTCCACATCATATCTACTTGATGTTTGTCTTTAGCAATTGCTTTTGGGGAGTGAGGGAACTTAGTCGTTTTTAAGGCATGATGGAACTGGGGAAATAGCTTAAGTTTCTCATATTTTTGCCAAGTCGTGTAGAATTGTACAAGTAGTATATAAAGCTTTCAAATACACCTCATTTCATATAGTTTTGAAATTGCTCCTTTAAATTTGTCTTTATATCCAAACATTCTAGATGTGAGTGCACTGGTGCGGAATTGCATTTTGATAAATACATGTCTCAACATTGGATTGGAAATGAGGCAAAGATGGCTGCTTTCATTAATGGGTTAAAGGGTAAAGTGATTTTTAAAAGAAAGTGCTGTTCACCCCTCTCTTTTTGGAATGAAAGAAGTCATGATCACACCAAGAGGTTTATGTTGTTCTATGTAGTTCTAATGTTAAAAGTGTTTTGGTTTTTGTTAATTGTAAACTCTAATTAAATTGTTTTTCTTTGTAGGAGTTGCTATTACTGGAAGAGGATATGAATGCTTTGGAAGAAATGTATCCTCAAGGGGACAAGGTGGGGTTTGTTACTTTGAATTGTTAGTGTCCATATCGTTGATGATTGTTTTCTTTTTCTTTACTATGTGTCTTACTAGTACATCCTTATGGTTCATTCAGGCTGAGACTGCTTGGGCTTTTACTGTATTGGGATACTTGGCGAAGCTTATATTGGGAATCTTAGGGTGAGTGGATTTTATTGAAATTAAATACTGCGTCTTGAGTTGATTTACTCTGGTGTTGTTGGACGCTATTCTCTCTCATGGCTGCTTTCCTCTTTTTTGGGGTGATGCGGGGGTTTGTTTGTGGTGGTTAGCTTGCATCTGGTTCAGATAAATGAAGTTAAGGAGCCTCAATTTGATTACTGAAAATCCTGTTTCCTCTTAACTCTGGCTCTGATGAAGAATTTGATTAGGTTACATATAAATTTTAGTTCAGAAATGCATTCTCTTTTAGTAAACAGACTAAATGCCTAGTAAGATAGCATTTTCTTTGTAAAATTTCTATTCAGACTTCAGAGTTAGGTATGTGGTTTCTCATGGAGGTGTTAAGGTAAGTAATAAACCAATAATCAGTACTACTACAATAAGCCAAAATAAGAACATTATCCTTTGATATCACTGATAAATGTCTTCATGTATGCTTATATCACAGTTCTGCCTATCCTGTTAGTCTTGCATTGATGTTGAAATGAGGCAGACTGATGTTCCTTCCTCTTCATTTGTTGACTCTTTGTCTTACTGGAAAGTATTCGTCCTTTTGTCATATACTTGCTGGTTTTTCATAAGGTTGGGTTCATAACTTCATATTGGCCTTTTTAGTCTGCCAGTGGTGCTCTCATTGCTGTCTCTTAATTTTTTAAGTTATAGGTTGTCCCCTATCGGGATATTGTGTTTGTTATTTTGTAGGAAAGGGGAATTGGTTATGGCAAAGTAGCTTTATAAAAGCAGGGGGAGTGAGGGGAAGTTGTATATACTTTTTCACCTGAGTGGTTGCTATATGTTGTATTAGTTTGGATTTGGGAATCGTTTCTTTGGGGTTTTCCAGCAGTAAGGTTATTGAAACCAATAATATTCCTTTTTTTTTTTTTTTTGCATTCATTTGTTTTTAGCAACTGTAAAGGAGACATTGTCAGCACATTTTATGTCTTTAGAAGAGGGTTAGCTAAAGATGAATAAGACCATAAACTGATGGAAGAGTAATATGGTAAACCGCGTTACTTGGAATCTGTGAAGCTCGGACTCGACCAACCACCCAGCTGTACCTGTGTCGACACGGAGTGACCTGGGTGCGGACACAGAATCCGAGTTGGACCCTTGGGTGAAAAAGTGGACTCGTCAATCATGAACCCTAGATCTAAAATAGAAGGGTGGATTCACCAAACCAAGAGCCTAAATCTTAGGGTTTTTGCTCTAAAGTGAAAAACGAGCAGCCTGACACCAAGAAGTTGCCGGATTTCTTTGCCGGTGACGGGAAACTGGTTCTTTGAGTCTTCGACTATTCAACTGCAATTTCTGTTTTCTTTTGATTATTTTTTTTAATGGGGGTGGGGTAGGGTGTCTTGAAAATTGAAGTAGTGAAATACTCGGTATAGTGTGGGGGTAGGTGGGAGACTCAAATGATTCATTTTTTTTTTTTCTTTTTCTTTTTTGTTACTTTTATTTTTTTTAAAAGCTGAAGAATACATACTACTCTTTACTTTTACTTTGACCTATTTTTACTTACCTTAAACTCTGTAATTTTTTTAATTGCCGTGTCCCCGAGTCCAAATTCAAAATATTTTGGACTCTTTTAAAACGTGTTCCCGGATCCTTAATTTTATAATATTCCGAATCGGACACTTGGACCCATATCCGAGTCTGACACCCGCACCCGAGTCCGAGCTTCCTAGCTTGGACTCGGGTACCCATGTTTGACATGGGTATGTGTCCAAGTGCCTTACTCAACTATTTTATGAAAATTTTCCACGGTTTTTAACTAAAGTGAAGTGTCTAAGTGTCCTACCCACGCTCTAGTGTCTAGGTGAATTGAAGAATCTGAGTAACATAGTCAACATGTATACGAATGGATTATGGTTAGACTGTAATTTTGCCAACTTAATCCTACTGAAATATAACTTCAGATTGCTATCTTTTCGATCCTAGCTTTCTAAGTATGGTGGAATGCAAGTGGAGAGCTGTTAGGAGTTAGATATACGTCCTTTATCTTTTTTTTGGTTTTTCTTTTTGGCAACATTTCTCATATCATGATTGCCAATGCGTTATTTTAATCACAAACTAGTGTGTGTCCCGGGCGATGCCCCGGTTTGCTAGTTTGTATTTTGTACCTCTTTAATTTGATAATTATGCCCAATGATGTTACTATTTTATTAACCTCATATGTATTTAGTTTTTAATCTGGTGAACAATAAATAAATTAAATAACCTCTAATTTGAAAGGAATATATAACGGTAATTATGTAGAATTTAAAACACTAATAAAAGTTGGTTAAGATGGTAAGTGTATAACCTTTATTTGTTGCAGGTTGCGGATTCGAATCTAGATCAATCCATAATTTATTTATTTTGTTAAATGAAGTTGCAAGCTTACGTGTCACATGTACTTTGAATAGTGACGTGTCATATATGTTGATGAGTGCCACGTGGCACCGTTCCTTTAGGAATGCCTTTTAATATATAGTACAGATATATAATAACTAATAATTAAAAAATTATAAAAACTAGATATACTATATTATAAACCGAGACAAATCTAACAAGATCCGACATGACTATGTTTTTTTTTAACCATGAATCATCAAAGCTAGTCAAAGTAGAGTATGTGATTATTGCACAAGTCTAAGTGCTGTTACCTGTTAGGAAATAAATGTAGTAAGTATTATATATGATACGTATTAGGTTACTTCCTCTTTGCTTCTTTGGAATTATCAAGGAAGTTTCTTTCTGCATCAAACTGTTGCTTATTTATTATTATTGGATCTGTATTCATTTGTCAAATTGGATACATTTACATAACATATTGTCTGTCATGTGATTGACATGGTCAAGTTCGTTAATTTTTTCTGCTTTTTGTTTCAGGTTGATTGTTTCAGTGGCTTGGATTGCACATATTTTAATATATCTGATAATTAGGCCTCCTCTATCTCCTTTCTTGAATTATATCTTCATCAAGTTGGATGATGTTTGGGGTGAGTTTCTTGGTGACACCACTGTTTTTATTACTTTTTTTTTGAAAGGACAGTTTTTATTACTTTTTGTTTATTTGATTGTTATCTAAAATTCTTATTTTGTTGCTTTCCAGGACTGCTCGGTACAGTGGCATTTGCATTCTTCTGTTTCTATCTTCTTGTGGCAGTTGTTGCCGGAGCAACTATGCTTGGTCTAAAATTAGTTTTCATCACCATCCATCCCATGAAGTAATAATGAACTCTAATGCACTTGTTATATTCACTGAGTTTTGGAATTTTATTGTAATTTACATGATTGACTTGGTTACAGGTGGGGAGCGACTCTCATGAATTCCTTTTTGTTCAATGTTGGTTTGATTCTTCTTTGCTCTATCAGGTTTGAATCTTGGCTTTGATATACTTGTTATCATTTCAATGTCAGTTTTGGCACCATGGTGCTGTAATGAAAATATTGGATTAGATGAGACCAGCCCATATTCTCTTAACCTTATTTTTGCTAAACTAAAATTATTTTTTGTTTTCTAACGATTCTCTATTATTTGTATATTTGTTCTTTAAATTTACTGATTTTTTCTAATTAAACTGTTTATTTTATTTTAAACCGAACTTTATTTTACTGAACTGAAATTAAGTTTACTGAATACTATTTGAAGAAGTTGAAGAAAACATGCCTGGAAACTGGATTCTGATTTTATTGCATAGAGGTGTTGTAAATCACTGTTTTCAGATATGTGCCAAGAATGTGTTTGCTGCTCTGATTTAACTGTACTTTATCTCTCAAAGTGTGCTGCTTTTCATCCGTTTTCTCCCCCAACTAAGACCACTAGCAGGCTTGGATCCCATACCTCTGCATAGGCCTATTGGGGCATTGGTTGACATTTGTTTACTCTTTATGTTGGTAGGATGGGGAAGAACCTATGAATATTGCATATTCTACATACTCATCCGCCAGTCATTTTTCAATCCTTTATCTTTGTTTCTCTTTTTTCTACCTTCCTGCCTCTTTCTACTCGTTTTTACTTCTAGTTGAGCATCTGTCATTGTTAATCATTTGAATGCTATTATCTTTGATTCAACTTGTGAGCATGGTCTCTTTTCTTTGGTTTCAGTGTGATCCAATTCTGCGCCACTGCATTTGCATATTATGCCCAAGCAACTGCTGCTGGTGAAATATTTGGCCACACGTTGCAATCTCTTCGTGGCATCAAATATTTATACAAGTCCGTTTACTCAATCCTTGTTTAATACTCGGTAATGTATTGTTTATGGTTTGTAAATGCTGACCTTGTCTGTTATCTACAGGTATAATGTGTTTCAGATTGCTTTTGTTGCATTAGCTGTATTGACATTCCTCTACTATGCGGCCTTTGTAAGCTCATGAAACTTTCTTTATTCCCCGTGGTTTTAGGCAAATTCTAGTTCTATTATTTAATTTTATTTAAAATTTTGAAATAAGTTCTTCTTAGGGGTCTTAAGCTGACTTCTTGTTGTATGTGCTTCAGGGTTGGCGGAGGAAGAAAACTTCTGGCAGGATACAGATCTCCTCTTGATAATGTATATCAGCCACTTGAAGGTCTTGAAGTTGCAAAGAACTTAGTTTGTTCTTGTTCAGGAGTGCTTTGGCGTACGGTGTCACAAGACTCTGAATCTGGTTGTGGTTTGAGCAAGTTGAGAGTGATGCTGCATTATGGCCAACTATATTTACTCTTTATTCTCATTGTACGTATTTTTCTTGTTTGATTTGTGTAAAACCAACTCTAGGACTTGTAGAGAAATTTTTTGGGGCACAGTGAGGCTGGGTGTGGGGTTGGTCGGGAGGGTACAAGCGTCATGCTGTTGTAATATAATTGTATGGGAGAGTGTACGATCGTCTAGTTGCAATGTGACTTGTCCTTTTAGATTCATTTGTTGATGATTTTATCCACTACATTTTGTATTATTTGTCCACAAACGCTGATTAATGGTCAATGCAATTACTAACAATTTTTTAAATTGTGCATAGCTTTCAAAAGACCTCTATTGAAACAACCTAAAATGAAGAAAAGATGCTTGTAATTCGATCATTTGGTTGTCTTAGTTCTCAATCCAGCCAGTTTTTACCTTGTAGTTATAGATTTATAGATAACACCATAAGTAGTTTCAGAATCACAAATCACATAAGTTTCCCATGTCATAACTATCGCTTGATTTTGTAATATTACGGTATGATTTTTACAAGATAAAAGCTTGAGTGCTCAGCTTTGCTATAGAAGTGAAACTAATTGGAAAGTCAGAATGGGAAGTCTTTGTAGCTACCTCTATACAGGCCGAGGAACTTGGTTGCTCAGGAGGGCGGATCCCCATTAAGGGTGAAGAGCAGCCAAACTTGATTATGAAACTGTAAACAGGTTTACTTCCATCACCCCTTTAGAGTCCAAAGAAAGTAAAGAATTGTCTCAAAGAGGTGAGACATTGGTGTTTACGTAAAAATAGGTTACAATTCGGTATTGATTGGCAAGATCTAAAATAATCGCTAGAGGAATACCAAGCCTGTGATTTTTTGCTTGATAATGCAAACGTGAGGATAGAAATTGAAAAAAGGAAAGTTTTGAAAGCTGGAGCAGCTTTAAGGTGGTAGTATTGGAGACAAAGAGCTAAGTCGAGGTGGGATGCTTTTGGAGACAAATCTACGACCTTTTTCTACAAGAGTGTTAAAGAAATAAATTTGAAAGCTGATATAAGGTACAAATTTTTACCTAGACTCTAGGGTAGGTAGAAGTCCCTACACCCCCTCCCCACTGTATAACCCTATACTCTTCCCCACTACATCCCTCCCATCCTTTATCCACCTCTTACAAATTATTGCAACTATCACCGCATCTTATCCCCAAATTATATATCTATCTATCTTTATCAACTCTAACTATAGCATAGTCCGTCCATTTCTGGCGATTTCACCGCCATTCTCTTCTTCTCCGGCGATATTCTATAACTCGTCCCGTCTGCACTATGAGCTCCGGTAAAAGCTCAAAATTGATCACTTTAAAACACTCGATTTGTATAAAGAATCTCGGATCTTCGAAATTAAATTTAGTGGCAGTTTCAGTCGTGCTTCTAGTGGCAACAGTTGTGGTTATGGTGGTAGTCGTGGTTATGCGGCGGTAAGCGTATTGAAAGCAGAGAATTAAAAGAAGGTTTTGATTACATGGAGTGATGGAGTAAAAGTAGATGTGGAAGATGAAATTCCATCGCATCATGACAGGGTAAAAATAATTACCTAAATCACTAACTAAAGTAGATAGGGAAGTAGGGTCGATCTCCACAGGGAAACAAGTCTTTTTACTCCTAATTAATTATTATAATCTAAATTATTTAAGTAACCAATATTTATAATTAAGTAAGAAACTAAACTACTAAGGTTGAGAATAGGAAGAAAACAATATATGAAAGGATCTAGGGCATAGGTTCACCAATAAATAATACTCCAGGGTAAACATAGTAATCAATCATTGACATTGCATAAATAACATGATTAACAGGCTCTCGCAATTTATTAATCAACATAGATCTAACAGGCTCTCGCAATTTACTAGATCTAAGTTCTTATTGAAAAAAAAGCCTTTAATATCAAATTAACATCTGCTCGATTCATCAATTTAATATTGCTATACTTTTACAAGCCGCAATTGTAAAACATTAAAACAATTCAATAAGAAATTATCATGCAATACCAATAATCAATAATAGTCAATCATCAATGCATCAATTAACCAGATTGTAAAGGGCTTTCGCTACTTATTACAATCACAGAATTAATCTACCGGTATTAAATCTCATCTCTCGATTCTGTTTTATCACCTTGAATTTCAGACATTTGTACTAAATTTTAAGTAATTTTGAACAATTTTTTGCTGTAAATGCTTCTTATTGTTTTGAATTTTATGAGAGAGAAAATGGAAGAATGTTTGAGAGGAAGGTTTTAGAGAGAGAAAATGCTGGGTTTTTTTTTTTTTTAATATATATATAACGTGGGGTAGAGGCGGTTACTGTGCGGTTAGTTTTTTACTGCGGTTATTGTGGGGTTAGTGGGGTTCCTGGGTTGCGTGAAACGCAGCGTATGGGGGGGGGGTGTAGGTAGTGGAAGCTACACTAGGGAGTTGGTGTTAAAATTTTTACACTAGTCCCCTGTGTAGCTTCCTCTACCTGCACCCCCCCTCCCCACGGCGTCGTTTTGCTGTGTTTCGACTTTGATGATTCTTTTTTTTTCTTTCCCTTTTTTTTTCCTGCCATTTTTGGCTAGTTTTTTTAATTTTTTTTTTATTTCTTTTCTTTTTACTCAAGCTATGTATATATATATCATTTTAAACATTTATTTTCTCTCTCTTCAATTGATTTTGTTCTTATTTTTTCTCTCTCTTCAATTTTATTTCATCTAATTGATGCGTTTTTCGTGATGGATGATTCTTCTACTATTGATTTTGATCGAGATTGTGAAGCTGTTCTTCCATCTGGTGTTCCATTGGTTGATTCATTTGTTCATCAATGTGAGTAATTATGATCCTAATTTTATTTTTTTTATTTTTTTTTGTGTTTATGTTATGCTCTGTTTTATTACTTTATTTTTTATAATTTCTGGATTTGTTTGTATTTTGATGCTCTTTTATTCTGTAATTGATGAATGTTTCCTGTAATTTTGATTTTGTAATTGATTTCGATTTTGTAATTGATTTTTATATCGTAATTTATAATTTCTGCATGTTCATTGTGATTTTGATTATTCATCAACGAATTCTGATTTGTTTGTATTTTGATGTTCAGTATTTCGCTAATAATTTTGATTTGTTTATCGATTTGATTTTTTGCATGTTAAGAATCGTAGTACATTTTAGTACATTTTGTTTTGCTAGATCTTAATTTAATTTGTTTTTATGTTGTAATGTGTTTTAATTTGTTCAATTTGTTAAACATTTTATAGGTTTTTTTGATCAAATGTATTATTCTAAATAATCATTTTTATATTATCATTTGTTACTGAGTTACTGACATATTTTCATATTGTTCATTTTAAATTGATAAATGATCATTTGTGTACATGATCATTTTTAATTATATTAGATTTTAAATTTATTTATAGTTGATTATTTGTTGTTTTGTTATTGTACATTTTATTTTTTGATGTTGATCATAATTTTATTTCACATATTTATGTAGTGGGAAAAAAGGATGGTATTGTATATCAAGAGGCAGAGAAGTCTGAATTATTGTATAAAGAATTTAAATCTGAAGACGAAGCTTATGAAATGTATAATGAGTACGCTTTTAGGAAGGGTTTTGGAGTTCGAGTTGGGAAGTATAAGTGGAGAAGAGATGGCTCATTATTGAAGAAACGATTTCTTTGTGCTAATGAGGGTTATAAGGATGATAAGTGTAGGAATCGTAGGGCTTATAAGAAGCTTGATTGTCGATCTGGTTGTAATGCCTTTATACAGTTTTTTGTTGATCATGATGGTGTTTGGACATGTTCAAGACATGAAATGGTTCATAATCATGATATGATTCCTGTTGAAAAGAGGCATTTAATAAGGTCTCAAAGGAGTGTTAATGATGAACAACTTCGATTTATTTCTACATTGAAAATGAGTGGAGTAAAAGTTGCTGATTCTTTGAGGGCTTTAAAAAAGGAGGTTGGTGGGTCTCCTAACCTTACTTTTACGGCTTCGGATGTGTATAATGCATTATCATGTGATAAAGCTGCCAAACTTGATGGATGTGATAGCAATCAGTTGATTAAGTATTTTGCAAAGAGACATGTAGATGAGGCAGATTTTTATTATGATTTTGAGCAAGATGATAGTGGTGCCTTGGTTAGCTTTTTTTGGCGCGATGGAAGAATGCTCAGAGATTATCATTACTTTGGAGATTAATTGGTCTTTGATACAACATATAAAACTAATAAATATGGAATGATTTGTGCTCCTTTTGTTGGGATGAACCATCATGGTAAAAATGTGATGTTTGGTATGGGTTTTATTCTTAATGAGCGCACTGATTCTTTTGATTGGTTATTTGATACATTTCTTTATTCAATGGGAAAGAAAAGTCCCATTACTATTATGACTGATCAAACACAAGCCATTGCTGCGGGTATAAGAAACACCTTTTTTAAAATTCCGGTTGAATTCTGATGTGTGGGGCCCTCCTAACGGCTAATAACGACTAGTTCTTGCTTCCAAATTGAAATCCCCCCCCCCCTGATTTTTACCTATAAAACATATTCCCTACCCTAATTTATGATTTCTACTGCAAATTCTTCCCAAATTCCACAAATTCAGCCACTTTGTAATTGTATACGCATCCTCAACAAAGCAAGAAGGTGAATTCGCATCAGGTAAATTCAATTACTCTTTAAATTTAGGGTTCTTATTGTACTTAAATTGGGGAAAACTGGTTTATTAGTTAATTAGGGTTCTTATTCTTCGCAAATTAGGGTTCTTATACTTCGCAAGTTAGGGTTCTTATCTTATTGTAATTGGGAAAATTGGGTCAATAGTTAATTAGGGTTCTTGTTCTTCACCCATTTTATCATTTTGCTGTCAATTATTTGCTGCTTATTGTGGTGAAATTGTGTTTGCAATTAGTTTACTTACGTAGTGTTAGGATGGATTTGAACATGTTGTAAGCTTGTATGTTTACTTGTTTTGGCAGAAATGGAAGAGAATAAGGTGGTTTTGAGATTTAAGTACTTGAGTGTTGTTATTGACCTTGAATATGAGATTGGCAAAAGTAACTTACAAGATACATCAATAGAATTTGAAGATCAACTTCGTGATATGGATGGTCCAATAGAAGGATCAATTGACCTCTTGTACCCCATATTCCAGTATATTTATAAAGGAAAGTATAGGACTTTAGAAGATGATGGAGATGTGTTCAAGATGATTAGGAGGTTACCTAATCAGGACATATACACTATACATGTTGGAAGCACAGATGACCTAGGTTTCTTGGCTGACTGTATCCTTGAGCATAAGATGAAGCAAAATGGGACTTGGCCACCCCTTGGTTATCCCCATTTTGGTGGCCAACCACCATAGTGAATAAGTGTGTCTGAGTAATTAGTTTGTAATTGGTTGTTTGTTGGTATTGTTGCTTTATGTAACATGTTTGCTAATTTCAGGTTTCATGATGTCTTGGAATAACACATCTCCCTCAAATTAGAAGAAATGCAACTGTGGCTTACCTTTTGCAAAGTTGACATCTTGGACCAGGGAGAACCCAGGCAGGATATTCAAGGCTTGCAAATTTTATGATCCTAACACTGAAACTAGGGGTTGTAAGTGTTTTGAATGGATTGACAGTGATGGGACTGAGTGGCAAAGAGATGTGATTAACCAACTTGTGCTTGACAAAAAGTTGATGAAGGGTGAAGTCAACACACTGAAAGTTCATGTGGATGAGCTCACTGCCCAAAGGAGATGCTTACTAAATGTGGTTGATACTTTGGGATTGAAATGCAAGGCACTAAGTGGTGACAGGAAGAAGATGATCAACATCAATGGGTGTTCTGACAGCAAGCTTATGGTTGTTGTAGTCCTTATGTGTTTAGTGTTTTTAGTTTTAGGTTGTGTTGTATTAAATAAGGTTGTTTAAGGGGGAGGTGGAGTGAATGCTGCTTGTAATGCTATTTTTATTTAGTAATGAATGAAATAAGTACTTTTGGTTTCAACTTTGTGCATTATCCCCTGGTTATCCAAGATAACCTTGTGCTTTCTTATGAATTGTGTTTTGAATTAGACAAGCAAACATTTACACACTGATAACAAAAATTTTGACTTAAAGAACACAAATAACACAAAACAATAGCATATATTAATCTTGCAAGTGCATTCAGCAACTAATCATTCACCAATGGATAATAGAACCCAAAAGATTGTAACAAAAGCATTCATCATTGTTTAACTACTTAAAAAAGGGTCATGCACCTGATCAACTACACAAAACAAGGGCATGCACCTTACATAAACTGTTACTTAACATTGTTCAACTTAATTAGTCTAAGTAATTTATTCCTTAACTCCTCTAACAGGATACAACTTAGTTCTTGGTGGTCTAGAAACTGGTGCAGGGGTTATGGCAGCTGTTGTAGTCGAAGCCTGGCTTTGTTGAGTCTGCTAGTGATCATGTCCTTATGCCTGATGCTGACTGATCTGCTCACTGTGATGCTGAGCCTGCTGCTGACTCTGCTGCTCAGTATGCTGTTGACTCTGTTGCTGCTTCTTCCTCTACTCTTCTTGAGGGAACTTCTTGCTGGAAATACTGTTTAGTCCAAGTGTACCACAAAGAGTAGTCTGCAAAACAGGACAGAAAACATTTAGGGCTTTAAACCATGAAAATCACTTTTGTCAAAAATCAAGCATAATTACCTTTCTTAATGCCCTTTCCGCTTTCTTCTTTATTTGATCATTGACCCACTCAGTGTTCAAATGTGGTCTACCTCCTGCTTTCTTAGGGGATGATACATCCACTGGTGTCAAAGTTGGGTTTTTGCATGTCTTTGCATAGTGACCAAGCTGGCCACAATTCTTATATGTTGCCCTTCTTTTGACTGGTTTCTGTCCTTGCTGGTTCTGCCCTACAACTTCCCCCTGTTCCAACTTCCTTTTCTTAGACTTAGGCCTCCCAAGCTGTACTTTCATTGCTGGTGGTAGTGGCTGCCTTAGCTTTACCTTCTCCCAATGGTTTGGACCAGGCATAAGAGCTACCTCATATCTGTATGCTAAAATGTATGTGGAAACAGAATAAGCATTGTCCACATAATCCTCAGGGTCTGCTCTTTTGTCCATGATGCATGCATATGCATGGACACAATGGATTCTAGTGAGGTCCCAATGGTAGCAAGTGCATGTTCCCTTGCTTAGATCTACTGTAACTATGTCTGAATTAAGCTCAACCTCATAGGTGTCACCTCTAGAAACTTGCATAATGCAATGCCTTGCTGCTGGTCTATTCTTTGGAATGCTTTTTTGACATAGGAACCACCTTTCCCTCCATTTTATGATAACTTTCCCATTTTTCATTGTTTCTTTTCATCATATACCTCCTTAGCCACTCCATCTGAGTCAAAATGGGCTTATCCCTAGCTTCTTTGATTACAACATTAAAAGTCTCACATACATTGTTAAGCAACATGTTTGACTTTGGGAAAGAACTAAAAGCATGTCTAGACCAATGCTCAGGTGGGATGTCAGCTAGGTATTCAAATGCATCCTTAGATAAGAACCTTATTGACTCCATTGCCACTTCAAAATCAAACTACAAAAAGGAGAACAACACATACACAAATAGATTCAGCAACACACTCACACTCATTCAAAACAATGCACAGGGTTATCTTGGATAATGCACATGATTATCTTGGATAATGCACAGGCACACAGTCACACACACTGAAACACAGTCAGAAACACTCAAACACACTGTTTAGAATTCCATGTGCACTGACACCTCCTCCTACACTAAATGGTTAACTTGCTGCTATCATTTTGCAAATACCAATATTCATACCTATTCTCCACCGCATGAATCCTTAATGCTTTCCTAATCAGTTTATTGTTGAGGAACTTCTGCCCTTTCAGCAAAACAATTGGTTTCTTAAAGTTTATTGAGGCATGAAACCATGGATACTTGTCTTCCTCATCATCAGATTACCTAGGACTATCCAACTCCTCAGAATCGGAAGTGAACTCTCTCTGTAGAGTCACTTCTTTGCTCAGCAATTCACTTTCAAGGGAAAAGTCATTGGTCTGCACCTCATCATCTCTCTTGTCTTGCACACACTCTAAACTTGCATTGACATGATGAATTATGCTCTTAACAGTGTTGTCCAAATCTTCTCCAAGCTCAGCATCCTCATCTAACCCTTTATCTTCCCTTATATCCCAATCAGGATCAGTGTCATTGCTGTTAGAGATGGAGTTGCCATATCCAGCTTCTGGATCCAACTCAACCTCTGTCTCTGTCTTTTTCTTCCCCCTACCCTTTGCTTTACACTTTGCCTTTCCCTTTCCCTTCAATGTATTTCTCCCATATGGACCTTCCTGTTCCCCTTGCTTCTTCTTCCCTTTCACACTCTCAGAGAACAACCTTTTTCTTGATGATTTCTTCCCTTTCACACTCACAGTTAGACCTCCCTATTTATTCTGCTGCTCAACCTTATCTTTTTATGTATTTTCCACATTGACCTTAAACCTAGGGCTTAGCCTAACTTTTGTGGGCTTAACAGTTTTGCTTTGAGTGTTTTGGGTGGGTTGTACAGTGCTGGGTTGTTGGCTAGTACAATAAAAAACAACAAACCCATTCTTAGTCTTTGTCTCCAAAAAGCCCTTTACATCATCTTCACTCAGAATCTCCTTTTTTCCATTTGACCAAGTCTTCCCCTTTTGTTTGTACAAAATATTCCACATGTTAGGCACTTCTAAATCTAGCTTCACAATCTCCTAAATGCAAGATTCCCTTACAAACTCCACTGACATATCACTCACTTTGCACTTACACCTCCAATATTCCCAATCACCCTCATAGCCACACAAAGTCTTCCCCCTTATTTTTTTTTGTCCACAAAAACACCACCTAATCTAACCTTTACATCAACTAATTCAACAAAAGCAGCAATCTGTACATGTAACAGCAAAATTTAAAATTTACACAATATTTCATTTCTTTAATAAACCAATATACATAGCAGCAATTAACAAATCCCCTAATTCACTGTCCTACACACATCCATACTTAAACAATTCACCAACAATTAAAGCATAATTGACCTCTATTAAATAATTCATTACAGTACAAACTGAACCCTAAATTTCAACAAAATTGCAATTCTACCATCACCAACCAAAAGCTAACAAAATTAAAGGCAAGG